GTGTTGACTTTTACTCCTGAAGAAAAAACTGAACAGTCCATGCAAAAGCCTTCTAGAAAAACAGCTTTATTGAGATAATATGACCCGCCATGAAATCTATCTATTTACCATTCATTGGTTTTGGTGTATATTAATTTTTAACGTTAGTGAAACATACAGAAAATAAATGTGGATAGTTTAACCAAATTTAGTTGTACAGTTCAATAGCATTATTACATTCGCAATGTTTTATAAACATCATTCCTATTTCCAAAACTTTTTATCATTTCAAGAGAAACTCTGTAACCTTTAACAATGATACTCCATTCTGCCTTCCCCCATCTCTAGTAATCTCTAATCTACTTTCTCTAATCAAGTTTCTAGCTTTATAAATTTGCCTATCTACCACCTGTCTTTGTCCTTTTATGTCTGGCTTATTTCACTTCGTCTACTGTTATCAAGGTTATTCTGCTGTATCATGTATCAGAGCTTGATTCCTTTTGATGATTGAATACTCTTCCACATTTTTGTGTAAACCACATTTTTGTGTAACCATTCATCTACTGATGGACACTTGGGCTCTTTCTTCGTGGTGACTATTATGAATAATACTGCCACGAACATGGGCTACAAGTATCTGTTTAATTCCTTGATTCCAAGTTCTTTAGGAGCAGAATTGTCAGATCATATAACAATTGTGTTTCTGTATTTTTGGGGAACCACACATCTGCTCTTCAAATTGGCTATGCCCTTTTCCATCTATCAGCAATTCACAAGAAGTCCAATTTCTTCACATTCTGTCCAACATTGGTTATGTAACATCAAAAAAATTATACTCCTCCTAAATGGTATGAGGTGGTATCTCGTTGTGGCTTTGATTTGCACTTTCCTATGACTAATACAGTTTTGCTTATTGACCATTTGCATATCTTCTTTGCAGAAGTGTCTCCTCAAGTCCTTTGTCCATTGTTAAACAGGATTGTTATATTTTTGTGATTGAGTGTAGGAATTCTCTATATAATATTCTCATTTAATTTGCAAACCTATTCTGCCATTCTGTGTACTGTTTTTTAACTCTTCTATTCACTTTTCCCCACTTTGTTTAAGGTGTAGAGTAAGGTGCAAGTTCATTCCTTCCTATCTGGATATTCAGTTTCCCCCTCTTTGTCCACCTTCCCCACCTCTTTGTTCACTCTCAGATCTCTACCTTTTCCATCCAATGAGATTTTCACTTACATGGCTAACCTCCCTCTTTTCACCTGGGTCCTGGAGTCAGTGATGAGGGTGAGTGTTCATTGTCCCATGCTGTCTGAGCATGGCCAGCTTGAGCTCTTCTCCACCACCTGATTCCAGAAAACCTGCTGAATATTATGCCTAGGATGTTCCCATCTCACTCTCTTGCCTCAATCCTCTCCTGTCCCCATTGTACCCCTGACTGGTCACTGACTGTCCAGCCTGCCTCTTCCCTGCCTCATCTCAGAGCAGGGCAAAACTAGTCCAGTGTCTGGGAGTAAAGTCTTAAGTACATTGATGTGCTGGGAGAAGGGCCCTTCAAGGAAGCAGAACAGGCATCATTACACACGCAGAGGGCTCCAGAAAGGTCTATCTTTCTGATAGACCCTGGGCTAGAAATGGAAGAGGGATAGCAGAATGGCCCTGGGCTAGAAATGGGGAGGGATAGCAGATAGACCCTTGCTCACATTCAGCAGAAGAAGCAGGGCCTGGGTAGAGAGAGGCTGGCAGAGGCTGGGGGAATGTATAAAGGGCGTGATGCTGGAACAAGTCCCAGGGTCAGGAGCAGTAGTTTCCATGAAATAACAGTTTGGGCAGTGTTGAGAATGGCCTGTTCCCTCAGGGTAGCCAACCAGAGAGACAGGAAGAATCTGTGCTGTGGGAGAAGAGCTTGTTGGGGTCTGACACCCTCCCCCAGCAGTCAGACCCATATGCCCACCTGGGATCCTCGCAGCTCTTGCTGGACAACAGTGAGAGGTGTTTGGGTCATAGGGGCAAATCACCATGAGTAGATTAGTGCCCCAATCCCACCCCGCAGGTTCAGTGAGTCCTTCCTCTAGCTGGAATAGATTACTTCCCCAAAAAACAAGTTTCAAAGGGAATCTTAATCTCCTTGCTCTCTCTCTCTTGCTCTCTCACTCACCATGTGATTTCTTCACAGTCTTCCTCTTCTTTTCTTTTCTGCCATGAGGGATTCACCAGATCAGGCTCCATAAGTTGGTCTTTTGATCCAGATTGTGAGCCAAATAAACCTCTTTTCTTAATAAATTACCCAACCTCAAGTATTTTGTTATAGTAATAGAAAACCTGCTAAGACAGGCCCTTAGGTCAGTCCTGCTCTAATTTATCAGGTGTGAGAAAAACTTCATCTTGAATGGAATGGAGGACTACAATCTTTCCTCTATAGAATGAGTTTCTCCTTCTGAGCTCTGAGAAAAAAGCCTCTCAGCTAAACTCAGCCACCCCGAGAAGCTTAAGAGCTCAGCAGGATGTGGGGCATCAGGAGTAGCAGTGCTCAAAGATATGTGGAGGCAGAGTGGAGCTGTCTTGCTCTTATGCCACAAGGCAGACCTCCCCTGCCTTTTCCCTCCTCAGAAGGAAGGGACTTGTCTCCTATATTTCTTCCTCATCTGCCTTTCTCCTCTCCCTCCATCTTCTTCCAAGGGAAGCCAGGCACAACATCCAACCTTGAGAACTTCATTTTAGGGAGGAGGGAAGATGAAGAGGTTGTCTGAATGACCATCCAGTAGATAGGTTCCATACAGCAGAGATTTAAAGGCACTAATTGGGTGACGCTCAAACGAGGACTGCTTGGGTCACCCATGACTCTCCACAAAGTCCACATCCTAAACCATGGTATCGCATTTTTTTTTATATTTTGAATCATTGTTGGGAGCTGGCCACGGAGGCCCACTGAGCGTTAGGGATCAGGGAGGGCCGTGGACCTCGAGACCGCTAGGACGTGTTCGGGAGCCGTAGACCCCATTTTCCTCCCCCTTTTGCCATGCAGCACAAATAACCTAAAGGAACTCTGCTGGCCTAAGCTGAAGGCTCTGTGACTGTGACAGGCATGGCTCACTCTAGAAACCCATTGTTCCTGTTTCCCATAAACTGCGGTTTCGGTTTAGGTATTAGATATAATTCAAATTCAGGTCACATTTGGGAGCCTTTTATACGGTACAAGCTTCTGTGTAAGATTTAAAAGAATATACTTAAGGAGAGCTGTTTGCAGCTTTTCAATGGTGAAGATGATTTTCGAGAGTGGCCCAGCACAGAGTTTGGGCTGGGCCACATTCCTGAGAGCCCAGCATGTACTTTGGACTGGGCTGCATTCTTTTAGGCCGGCTTTAGCTACAGTTAGTGTAAGGTCTCTTTTCTACCTATTATAGAAATTGAATTTATTTTATTCATAGAAGGTATTGTAGAATAGGTCATGCTACGAATCATGTTAGTTCATACATAGTCAATCATAATATTTTTAGGTTTAATAAGAATATAGTTAACTTTAAGAATTTTCATCGTCTCCACTTTCTACTATCGAAGTTTTTGCCTTAGTACATTTACAATTTACATTTAGGTTTTAGAAGCTTTGCCGCTACTAATCAGCTTTATATATTAGAATTAAGAATTGGAAAACTTTCATAGAAATTAGGATAGACATATAAGACTTTGGAATAGCCATTTTGTTAAGAGATTGTAGTCTATTGTTCCAAAAGGTGGCCCACCGTGGACCTTGGACTGGGCCACATCCTGTAGGGCCCAGTGTGGTCTTTGGACTGGGCCACATTCTTTAGGAAATTGGCTTAAGCTATAATTAAGAGCTTCCATAGCATTGTGTAAATAGTAAAGTTTAAGATAGTCATCATGGGTTTTGTGTGAGCTTTAGAAGTTATTGATTATCAGAACATCATTAGGCTAGTAAGGATTGTTACACTGCTTTTGAAGAACATTAACTAGCAAAGGGAACAATGAGACAATCTTGGGGTTTGTTCCTCCTCACACCTAAGCATCTGGTGGGTGGGGGATGCCCCCCCGCACCTGGCTTTGTGTTCACGTGAAAGACTTGTGAGACTGCCTGTGTAAAATTTGGGGATAAATACCTGCTGTTCCTTTCAATAAACGGCTTCTGCTCATTTCACTGAACAGTTGTCCACTTTCTTTCTTTCTCTTTCTTCCTCTTTATATCTATCCTTCCATCTTTCTTTCTTTTAATATCTATCCCTACAGATTCACTGACGCCACCACATCTTCCAAGGGACTCCCCAAAATTTGCAGGGGCTGGCCCCCTGCAAATCTTAAAGTACATGTGAGGATTTTTTACGTAAACATATTGTGTGAAGGCAAGATTTGTGCTTCTGTTGAGCCCACCCCCCATGAGTTAGCATGGTACCCAATGGATCGTTTTGCATCTCTTATCCTCCCTCTCTCCCTCCCTCCTTCATCAGTTCCCAGTGTCTGTTGTTCTGGAGTCCGTGTGTGCCCAGTGTTTAGTACCCACTTATGACTGAGAACATATATGAGTGGGACCACATATGTTAAAAAGAACTTTGAAGATGTGAGTAAGTAAAGGATGTTGAAGTGGTGAAATTAGCCTGGAATATCTGAGTGATCTTGATGTGATCACAAGGGTCCTTTAAGAGGGAAAGAAATGTGAGGATCGTTGGAGAGAGAGACTGGAAGATGCTGCTGTTGACTGTAAGAGGGAGGAGGGCCCAGTATCCGTAAAGGGGAAAATACAACTCTGGAGCTGAAAAGCCAAGGGGCAGGACGCTCCCTTAGGCCCCATGGAGGAGTTTGTCCCTGTTCACAACTTGTTTATCACCCGGTGAAACCCATTTCTGACTTTGACCAAAAGAATGGAATGCACATTGTTTAAAACCACTGGTGTTTTGGTAGTTTATTTCATCAACAACAGAAAACTCAGATGGGACAGTCAAGCAATAAGACAGGTATTGGGGCAGACAGGCTGGAGACCAGGCAGGAGATCAGAAACAGTGTGGACAGTCATTGATGCAGGTGGGTAGGAGGAAGGTAGAGAAACAGGTAGGGATGCTGGAGAAGGGGACAGAGAAAAGGCCAGACAGACTGGAGGACAGGAGGCCAGTTGGAAGAAGGGCAGGTAGGCAGATGGAAAACATGATGTGGGCAGACAGGTGGTGGACAGGAGTACGGTGAAGGAATGTGGGATGGCAGGTGAAGGCCCTCAGAACCTGTTCTTGTCCCCACCAGGGATGGAGAGCTTCCTGAGATGCAGGTGGATTCCACTGTTGGACATCAACACAATTCGAAGTATGGGGGTGGGGACCCTGGTGGGATCAGGGAGCAGCTCAAAGCGGAGCAGGGTCAGGGCCACGGCCACCTTCAGCTCGTTCATGGCAAATTGTTTCCCGATGCAGTTCCTGGACCAGGCAGGGACAGTGAATTGAGAAGTGGCATCAGACCCTTCTGAGTTGGGCAGGCATTGGGCCCTGGACTCTAGCCCAGAGCTGGGCATACAGGGCCCTTCCTCATGTTCCCAATCCGGACCCTCTTTCCTCACAGGCCACACACACCTCTACAGCAGCTTCAATTCACACTCTCACTTGACTGTTTTATTTTTGTTGTTGTTGTTTAGACAGTGTCTCATTCTGTCGCCCAGGCTGGAGTGCAGAGGTGCAATGACACCTCACCACAACCTCGACCTGCTGAGCTTGGGCAATCCTTCATCTCAGCCTCTGGGAATAGATGCTACTACCAACTGCAGGCATGTGCCACCCTGCCCGGCTAGTTTTTTGTGTTTGTATGTGGATCTGCAGTCTTGCTATGTTGCCCACACTGGTCTCAAACTCCAGGGCTCAAGCAATCCTCTTGCCTCAGCCTCCCAAAGTGCAGGGATTATCAGTGTAAGCCACTGTACCCAGACTTGCTCGACTGGACAAACTTCATTTGTCTTCCAGGACTAGCTTCTAATGCTACTTCTGATCTCAGTAGGCAGGTAGCTCTCTGTCAGGACTGGGCAAGTGCTCTCAGGCACAGAGTGTAACTACACGAATGGTTTAAAGAGTTAGCATTGGTTTGTTTACTCCTCTACAAAGACTTTTTGGTTGCTCACTGTGGAGACCAGCACAGGTCACTCTAGGGCAAAGGTGGGCCACTCTCTCAGGGGTTCCTATGTAGGGGGACATATAGCTACCGGGATCCTCATATGAGCAAGACCCAGATGTGTGGGGGGAAAGAATCAGAAGGGCATCCAAGGAGCTTCCTGGAGGGGCACTAGGTGGACGCCCTCAGATGTTTCCCCGCCTGCATCCTACCCTGTAGTCTAGGCTACTGCTCCCCCTCATCATCTCCTTCCACCAACACCTGCAGCTTCTTATTCTAGTCGAGAAGAGTCCCTCTTTGCCATCCCTCAGTCTCTCACCAGGTCTAATCTGGTGTCCCTGCTACCCCTCGCTCCACATTGCAGCCATGGCCCAGCTCAGACCTTCCTCACCCTTCATCATACTACGTATCATATAGTACTGAGTGTGGTTTCTCTCAAAGACAGACTATTGTCCTTCATTTTTATGCTTTTTGTCAACATTATACTGTGTATGTTATTGGATTACAGCATAGAGATCCCACTCCATGTAAAGAATTTGGCCGAATGGGAAAGATGACGTCAATATGTGCACATGGTAATGAAGTGAACATTTGCTGGGCAAGAAGCAAAATGAGGAGACAACCTGCCTTGTTGTAAAACTCTCTGCAAAGGGCTACCTTAACCAATGGCTTGGAAGATAGGACTACTAAGGTGTTTCAAGTCTAAACAGATGCAAAAATTCCAAGGATTTAACTTAGTGGTTGACTAACAAGTTATGTGTAGGGAGGGAGAAAGTAACTCTTTAATATTGATAATAATTGGAAACAGCAAACACGTAAAGTTGAATTTCCTGAAGAAAATCTAATATTGAAAAATCATACTCCTAAAGTGAGGAAAACACCAGAATACACTGAGGTTTGGGTCACCCATGGGCAGTGATTTCTGGGTAGCCATTGGAAAGAGGAGAGGGAGCAGAGGCTCCATGGTTGCCCTAGAATGCCCCCTCCTATAGCACCAGGTCCCCTCCCACAAACACCAACATCCAAGGGCACAACTGAAGATGCCATGTATGAACATAGGGGGTCACAAACATCAGGCACGTGCCCAGAGACTCTCCCTAGATCCCCACCTAATTAGCATGAGGACACCTCACCTTGATCCTCCTGAGAAGGGCAGGAATGCATGGCTGTGCCGGTCAGAACCCGGTGCAAAGTGGGAAGGGTCAAACACCTGCAGAGAGAGCACCAGGGCCAGGGCAGGTAGGGGTCATGTCCCTGCTTCCAACCCATGAGGGGGCAGGGCACCCTCAGATGGGAGTAGGAAAGGGTGTGGTCTGAGGAATCATTCCTTCCCCTACTCCTAGCGCCTCGTACCTCTGGGTTTGGCCACACCTTTGGGTTGTGATGAAGGCCATAAATGGAAAGCGTGACTATGATACCTGTGGGGTGGGTAAGAGACAGAAAAAATAATAATCATATCCATGGAGAGGGGCTGGTACATACAGAAAAAGCCAGAGTGCCGCAAATGATTTTTGAGCAGGATATTCCTACACCTATGCAGGTCGAGTGGGCTTGGCTAAGCACCTGAGCTCAGATGATAATCAGAAAATTATTTTTTTGAGTTGGAGCCTCACTCTGTTGCTCAGACTGGAGGGTAGTGGCATGCTCCCAGCATTGACCTGTTGGGCTTAGGCGATCCTTCCGCCTCAGCCTTCCAAGTAGCTGGAACTACAGGTGTGTGCTACCACACCTGGCTACTTTTTTGATTTAGTGTAGAGATGAGGTCTTGCCAAGTTGCCCAAGCTGTTCTCGAACCCGTGGGCTCAAGCAATCTGCTCACCTCAGCCTCCCAAATTGTTGGGATTACAGGCTTGAGCCACTGCACCCAGCTGAACGGAAAACTTTGAATTGCAAATGAGAAACAAGAAAGAATCAGAATATTGTTGTTTGAGGTAAGTCCAGTGACAATTCACAGTCATCAAATGTCCTCCATGAGCCAGTGGTGAATGTACATGAACTCATTCGATACTCTTGGCAATGCTCCAAGGAAGACCATCTTTTGCTTCCTTTTTTCAGATGAGCTACATGAGTGACAGAGAAACTGATTGTTTTATCTATGGTCACACAGCTAGGATGTGACAGGGCTGGAACCAGGCCTAGTTGGGGAAGAGCCTTGGTGTCCTCAAGCACTACAGGGTCTCAGATCAGGCCATCAGCTGCTCTCTACCAACAACCTGAGGGCTCCTCAAAGACTGGACAACATGTGATCCATAACGCTGGATTCCTGACCTCCTTTATTTGCCTTGATCCCTTCAGGAAAGAGTCACAACTCCCTCTGCCCCAATCTGATTCTCTCTCCAGCATTTTACAACTCAGAGAATAGAAGCGTATGGTTCCATGATCAAGGCCAAATCCAAAGGCTAACATTTATTTATTGAAATTTTAGTGGGTTCAAGTTCTGGGCTAAGCATTTTAAATTCTTCATCCTAAATACAAAGAACATTTTTTTTTTAATGTGAAAGGACGGCCCAGAGGCCAGACCTGCTGTAGCACAGGTGAATGTCTGTCCCTCCCCGTGTCTCTGTGGAGTCATTAGATGAATGAGCATGGGAAATTCCTACCTTTGGGCAAGGAGCGTCCATCAGGGAAGGTGACAGGTTTGCTCGGTTCCCTGCTAACAGCTGGTATTGGTGGATAGATTCTCAATGCCTCCTTGATGCACATGGTGGTGTAGGGCATCTGGTCCAGGTGCTTCCTGTATCAAAGCCCATCTTGAAGAGTGGTCAGGGCCTGGGAAGAGCAGGGCTTTCCCCATGGAGAGGGCAGGGCTCTCCTATCTCCTGAGTACTCACTCACCAGGTGATGGAGGCTTCATCCCCCAAGAGGCTCTGGACCTCCTCCCGGCACCTCTGCTGATGCTTGGGGTTCACGGCAAGAGTATAGAGGATCCAGGAGATGCCGCTGGCTGTGGTGTCGTGGCCCTCAAACACGAACGTGTCCACCTCAGCACGGAGGTCCTTGTCTGACAATCTGCTCCCATTCTCCATCTGGAGGAGGCCACAGCGAGAGTGCAAGGTTTGTCTCTTATTCTGTGCTCTGGGCTGAGCCTCAGGCCTCTCCTACATGCACTCACTTTGGCCAAGAGGAGGATGTCCAGGAAATCCAGGTGTCTCTTTTTCTTGATCTTCTCCAACTCACCCTCCTCTTGCAGGCGAGCCTTCCTCTGCTGGATCACTTGGTCTGTTCCAGAACAGTGGTTACCAGGCAGAACTGAGAGTGTAGTAACCCTCAGGAGGCCCAGCTTCATACCTGCCCCCAACTGGGTGCCTGAAAGAGCTCAACAGGAATGGAATTTGGGTGCTTGTGTCAGGGAAGGGAGCTCTAGCACGGTGTGAGGCAGATAAGGACTCCCCTCAGTGGTACAGCCCATGGAGACTGGACTCAGGTACTGCTGAGATGTGATCTCATTCAACCATTGCCATGTGGTAATACAGTCAAACCCCTTCACTGTACATGGTCCCTAATAAACATCTCCACTTTTAGGCCCACCACCTGCTAAGTCTCCAGTCTTGGTATGTCCCAGCTCCTGCAGGGGGACTGCAGAGTCTGACTCTTCCTGAGGAGTCAGGGGCTGCTCCTTTGAATTTATCTGGGAAATGTAGGGAAACAAGAGTGGGGGGCATAACCTGTGTGTTGATGGGTGATCTGGCAGGCATGTTGGGTCCAGCGGCCCTCAGGGGTCAGGCTGTAGATGGTGTCATTCTGGTAAAAGGCAGTTCTCACACGGGAAAACATTAGGTTGGTCAGGTCCCTGATGGCCTGGATGTAGGACTGAGAGTTCCTGAGGTAGAGGATGGAGAAGAAACAAGGTCTAGGGGGCCAATGACCTGAGGCAGAGTGGGATCTGAGGTATGTTCTGTTTTACAGCCATAGTGACCCTCAGGTTTTTATAAGATGGTGTGTACATCCAGGCTCTACCTGAGCTAGGAATCATCGATCAGCACCCGAGTCATGGTTTCCAGGCTCCACCTGAGCTAGGGATCAGGGATCTGTGCCTGAGTCATGGTATTCCAGGGCTTACCCAAGCTAGGGATCAGGGATCTGTGTCTGTTTGGTCTGGTCTGGAATTAGAACTTGGTCAGGGGATGAATCTTGCTTCATGTGGAGTGAGCCTCTAAGCTGGACCACTTGCCTCTCAAGTACGTCCCCTCCAGTTAGTAAGGACATGGACCCTGCCGCTGGTGGGGGGGGGGGCATCACTGACCTGTCCGCCTGGACGTTGCCCTGGTGGCTGAAGGCACACTTCATGATTGTGTCCAGGGTCATCAAGGAGAGGTGCTGAAAGACCTCCACTGGAGAGTCCTGGCCAATGAGCTCTTCCCATTTGTCCTGTGGTGGGAGGAGGGCCTTGATCCTTCTTAATTCCCCCAGAAGTTTTTTTACTAATAAAACTTGGCTTATTCCCATATCTGCAGATATCTTTCTTGAGATCCTCAATTTCTAGATCAGGTACATTGTAGAAGTTGGGACTGTGAAGCCAATATTTTTAAACTGGTACCTATTTCTCACAAACTTTTAATATAACATTAAACATAGTCTCTCACAATAGCCTGTACTGAGTTTTGAATTTTGAGATTCAAGAAACCCTTTTCTTGTTGTTGTTCAGGAATAAATAAATCATAGGGAGCTCAGATTTCTGAGAGCTGAACTGGTTCTAAGGGTCTGGTAGGACCCCAACTTGTAGTGGGAAAGGGTCAAGACAAATGAAAGGCTGAAAGGTCACTGCTAATGAAGGACATCAGAAACTTCAATCCATTTTTCTTTTTTTTTTTTGAGTTGGAGTCTCACTCTGTCGCCCAGACTGGAGTGCAGTGGCCTGCTGGGCTCCGGCGATCCTTCCGCCTCAGCCTTCCAAGTAGCCGGAATTACAGGCATGCGCTACCATGCCCGGCTGATTTTTTGATTTATTGTAGAGATGAGGTCTCGCTGCCCAGGTGGGTCTCGAACCCGCGGGCTCAGGCAATCCACTCACCTCAGCCTCCCAAAGGCACGGGATTACAGGCTGAGCCACTGAGCCCGACTTCAATCCATTTTTCATGAAAGCTTTGCTGAGCCCAATTGGGTGAGAAATCAGAATTACGATGTGAGGAGTTCGTATGGCAGGTATGGCTTTGATAATGTAGACTTGGTGTTCATTTTACTCCGTAGGTGGCTGAAATCCACGCAGGAGTCTTTGGATCCAAGCCAGAGGCTGGATGAGTGACATTCTGGCATATCCACTCTGACACAAGATTTGCCATTGCCCAGGCCACCCAGTGGGATTGACCACTTTTCCAGTCTACTGTTTTGAAGATTTCAAAGTGGGAAGAGAGGAACTTTATATCCACCATGACTGACCTTTCCTCTATGCTCAGCAGAGTGTGGTTCCAAGGTAACGCCTGGGTGCTCTCATCTCCCATTCACCTTAGGGGAACCTCACTCTCACAATAATAACCTGCTATGTAATGATTGCCTATGGGACACAGGGTTGAGTGGAACTGGTGGGAGTGTTAGCTTGGAGTGGGTGTGTGAACAGGAGAGAAAGATGGACTCACCAGCATCAGCCGAACAGAGTCTGCCATGATCCCCACGTAGGATTTGAGGATGTCATAGTGGAAGGCTGGGGTCAGCATCCGCCGACGCTTAAACCACGTCTGCCCATTCAACAGGAGCAAACCGTACCCTAGACCAGAGACAGGTGTGTGTATGTGAAGGGAAGACAGACTCAGAGGAACGACTGTGGATAATTTGGAAGGAAAAGAGGGTGGTTCCTGTGGGGAAAAAACTGAGAAGAAGGCACAACATGGGCAAGACAGGAAAGGCAGGTGCACTTCTGGCATGTGAATATTCTAATTGGGCTGGTACATCCATGTGATTATGACAGCTGTGAGTTGAAGCGGTTGAGGAGGAGTTGGGACAGGTCAGGTAGGGACTTAAGTAAATGTAAGGCTGAGACTGGAGACAACTGGAAAGTGAAGTGGAAGAAGCTGAGCCTCTGAAAAACTCATGTCTGCATTAAGAAGGTATGACATGTTATTAGAAGAAGGGAGTAAGGCTTGAATTTGGGTTGGTGTTCTGGCAGTGGTGACCCATCACCTGCTGTTCTCAAGAGATGGCTCATGGCAAACCTAAATGGAGCATGAACCACAGTCCTAGTTTAGATATACATACCCAGCCACGGAGCCAGCAATCTGTAGCTACCATGAGCCTTTGGGTCTGAAAGAAAAGGAAGGGCTTTACAGGATACTTGAAGCAATCACACAAGGTAGCCCCAAGACACCTGTGGTTCAGACCATGGACTGTGTTCTTAATATCTGTCAGTTGATCATGTGACACATGTTGTCTCCCACTTTCCTTCTGTTTCCTTCAATGTTTGTACTTAAGGTCAATGTGTGCTCAGGAAGACAGACTCAGTGTTCCATAGCAGAACACCCATAAATTTAGGAAGGCAAGTGGCCAGGAACACGGGCAGTGCCTTCCATGCCAGGGAGTGAGACAGCCTTAGGTTTCTCTACATTGGTAATGCCTTAATCACCCCATAACCCAGGATATCCAGCAAATAAAGATTCCAAATGCAAGTCAAGGTGATCATGAAATTTGTTTTACAGATATGAGACAATTTACATTTCCGATCACCTCAATTTGCTTAAAAGAGCAAGATGAAAAGAAAGGATTAGAGGATTCAACCCCACACAGTTGTTTTAAACATTCAGTACTTAATAAATATTTTTGGCTGTAGCCTGGGTTGTGGACTTGGTGGATGGTTGACAGAGAGTTCAGATACCGATGTTTAAACTATACTTTCTTTGGGAATTTTCCAGACCCAGGGACATGTACTCAACAGGGAAGAGGTGCTGCAGCTGGGAGACAGGTTTCAATCTTACCTGATCTCCCCAGAATCACCTTCATGTAGTCAGGATCATAGAGTAGGACACGAACTTTGCTCCCCCATAACCACTGAGGATAGGCACTCGGGTATCTCTCTACCCATTTCAGAATCTGTTGTAGCTCCTGGTCCTTTTGGAACTGTCAATGAGAGAAGGACATCAATAAAAACATCTGGTTAGTTCTAGTCTCTGAGCTGGGAGTGCAGGGCAGGACAATCACAGGGACTTGGTAGTTCTAGATTTTACCAGCTGAAGCTAGGGATTTGGAATTGTTTCTGAGGACCTGGGCTCTGATCCAGATTCTTGTTATTTCCCCAGGACTTGGACTAAGGCCAGGTCTTATCGCCTGTTGGACTGAGATATGACCCTCACTGCCTTCAGAAACTTAAGTCAGGTTTTGTCTGTACATTGTACAAAGCCTTTAGAAAGAACAGGCATGGTGGCTCATGCCTGTAATCTCAACACTTTGTGAGACTATGGCAGTAGGATTTATGAATCCAGGAGTTCAAGACCAGCCTGGGCAACATAGACCTTATCTCCAAACAAAAAATCAAAATATTAGTTGGACATGGTGGTATGTGCCTCTAGTTCCAGTTACTTGGGAGACAGGTGAAGGGATTGCCTGAGTTCAGGAGGTTGAGTCTGTGGTGAACCATGACCATGCCACTGCATTCCAGCCTGGGCTACAGAGTGAGACTCCAGTTCTTAAAAACAAAAAACAAAGCTAAACAAAACAAAACAAAAAACCAAACAAACCTTTGTAAGTCATAAGCACAACATTTCCATGGATGACTTGTAAAACAATGTGTTTTATTTGGTAAGCAGATGTAAAATAATTTAGTCTAATCAGAGAGGAAAATGAAATATATTTAAAATTTTTAATTTTGCAATAATTTTATATTGTCATACTGGTTGTTTCAACTTCAATATTATCAAAGCAAACATGCAAGTGTTCACTTAGGTTCAATAGTGTTTGGGATGTAAGTAAAAAAAATTAAATATAAAATTGTGTATATAAAGCATTCTACATGTTGAATATGTATGTATTTATAGGACAAAGTCTAGGTATATATGGAATGTAGTGTGAATCTATGATTTTGTTTCTTATTTTTAAATTTTGTTCTTATGTTCATTGTTTCTTAATTTTACATTTTGCTTCTTATGTTCATGAAAGAAACTTTTGTGAGCTCCCTGATGCCAGGGTCGCTTTTCAAAACTCTTCAGTATGGATCACAGAGCTCTTTGCTTTCTGGCTTCAACTCCTCCATTCTTGCCTTCTGCCACGCTGGCAATTCCACCATGACTCACTTATTTCACCACCTAAGCCTTTACCACCACTGTGACTGATCTTCACAGCAGCTAAACCTGCTCTCTCTCTCTGGGCCCTTGTATCTCCTCTTCTCTCTACTGGAATGTCCTTCCACTTTGCCACAGAGTAACACCTCTGCTCAACTTCAAGACTCAGCTTTATTTCATGTCATCTGGAATGCTCTCAGAAATTGTGTTCTAGCAATATTCTACTTAGTCAAACCTCCTTTATTTCTACGGCATCTGTGTAACTGTCCGCTGTGTAGATAACCAGTCTAGGCCTCATCTTTCTGAAAACCATATTCACCAACTTTTTGGCAGCTTGGCCTACTGTGGGATGGGTGCCTTCATTCACCATATGGGCATTGAGTACCTACTGTGCAAAGCACTGGTTTGGACCCTGGGTTAGATTCCAGCTATGGATCTTTGCTGATTTGAACTTCCAGACTAGTTGGAGAGACAGAAAGATTGGAGGATGTATAGTAGAGAGTAACTAATGTTGAAATTGAAGGAAACTCAAGCATCTGAAGAAGCTTTGGAGATGGAGTTGAACTTAGAACTGAACATTGAAAAGCACTTCCTGATTCTCTTGCTTATTCTCTGAGTCATTATTATTATTATTATTATTATTTTTTGAGTTGGAGTCTCACTCCGTCACCCAGACTGGAGTGCAGTGGCTGCTCCCAGCCACCGCAGCCTCGACCCGCTGGGCTTCGGTGATCCTTCTGCCTCATCCTTCCAAGTAGCCAGAATTACAGGTGCGTGCTACCACGCCCGGCTAATTTTTTGATTTATTGTAGAGATGAGGTCTTGCCAAGTTGTCCAGGCAGGTTTCAAACCCGCGGGCTCAGGCAATCCACTCACTTCGGCCTCCCAAAGCGCTGGGATTACAGGCTGAGCCACCGAGCCCGGCCCTGAGTCATTATTCTTAATGGACTATTGGATTACAGAGATTACACAGAATCTGAATTGGTCTCTTCTAGAGAAGCCAACAGTTATGACACTGCAGAAAAATAATTTAATCACATTAACACTTCTCTGTCCTCTCGAGAAGGACAATCCATAGGAAAAAGAACTGCCCACCCTCCCCTCCTACTCCTGGGAGACACAGGATAACTTCTTGGAGGAGATGATCTGGGTCTGGGTCTTGGCAGAAGGGCATAGGAAGGACAAAGTATTCCAGGCAGAGGCACAATACTAACAGAGGCCCAGAGACTATAATGCAGATGCAGGTAGGGTGATTAATGAGTAAAGGAGGAGATTGGGAAACAAGAAGGGAGAGAAATATTGGGGCCCATCTACTTAGGGCAGGGATGTTCCAGTCCCCTAGTTTGGCTCCACTCTGCTCATAATCATGTTGCTCACAATCATGGTGTGGGTGTTTCTCAGCAATGAGAAACAATAAGGCCTCAACTCCTTGCAAGCCCCATGTCCTCTTAAGTGTGTTTAGTTCACAGCCCCTTGGTGAGCCCCTCTCCATGTTGCCCCTTCCCTTGCTCTTCCCTCAGACCCAGTGCTGGCAGTGCAGGGCAGTTGGTGCTGTCCCTCCCCAGCCCAGGTGCTGCTTCTTTCCCTCTTTAGTCTGTCTGTGCACACACCTGGGCTGACCACCCCACTGTGCCAGGCTCTTGCTGGGGCTGGAACACAGGGAGGTGGTGATATGCTTAGCCCCAAGGAGCTCATGGTCCACGTATGTGGAAGGAGAGCCAGGAAGACAACAGACACTGTTCAATGGTGTAACTCAACATCAGAACCCCTCACTTCATGACATGTGCAGGCTGTGACCTGCATCTATGCATATAACCAGTGAGGGTTTCAGCCCCGAAATCACCTGTTCTGGAAATTCCCTCAGTCTTAGGCATACCAAGGCAGTTGTTGCTAGGCATCCAACCACCCAAGGGGTATAAACAATCTTCCAGTGGCCTTGCACTTTCTGAGATTCCTGCCTATGGTATTCCCAGACTGTGACCCTTGAAGGCAGGAATTCTGCCAGATTGGCATCTGTGCTCCCAGGCAATCTCAGGGCCAGGCAGGAAAAATGGCATTGTGCGACTAGAGCAGAGAAGCATCTAGAAGCCTTGTTATTTGTGAACAGCCTAGGCTGTTGGGAGTATACAACCTGGGAGGAGGAGCCCCAGGAAGGCTCAGCTATATTGCCTTCCCCAGGAAGGGCTGACAGGGAAAACTTCAGATCTGCATGAGGACGATAGGGGTGACAGAGCTGAGGACCAGTAGGATGAATTTCTTGGGAGGGTGTGAGCTCCCTGTGACTGGAATGAGCTGAGGTTGGAGAGGTATTCCGGGTGTTTCTAGGAGGTAACATGCTGCTCACACAACGAGGCTTTGTCCTACGAACTTGCTGACCAGGCAGTCTGAGCCCTAGTCCTCCCCATCCTCCCGGTCCCCTGTGCAGCTCCTTCCTACCTCCCAGCTGTGCCCGAAGAACCAGTGGACGGGAGCAGAGGGGAACTGCTGAAGATCTTTGAGCAGGCACTGCCTGTGCAGGTAGAGTTGGGCTGCCTTGAGCAGCAGCAGAAGCAGGACGAGCAGGGAGGCCACTTGGAGGAGCCCAGAGATGCTGCCCAGGAGTTGCATGGGGCTCAGCACAGAGACACTCATCGTGCAGCACCTGCTAGATCTCTGTCTGCTTCTGCTTTATCTTGACTGCCCTGCCCTTACCATCCCTTGCCCTGGGAGGATTTCCCCACCCACCTGGGGGAGGGTGAAGGGAGTGGACTGAGCTTTCACTTCAAGATTCAGATCTGATGGACTGTGGAGGATTCACGTATAAAAACAGTGAGAGGAAAGCTTCATCAGTCAGTGGTAATGAACATGCCCAGAGCTTCACATCACCCTCAAGTATTTAATGAGCACCTACTATGTGCCAGGTTGTATGCTAGGTGGAGGGGGGCACTGCTGCAAGGAAAGTAAACATGATTCCTGACTTCAAAGAATTCACAGCCTATTTTACCAAATGTTTGTAAGTGTAGCTGGCTTTATTATCAGTGAATCAGATGAGAAACTGATTACAGAGAGGCAAAATCTTGTGGTCAGAGTAAAACAGCCTGTGAGAATGGAAGGCGGGATGAGACTCCTTCTGTGTTGGCTTCCAACACTACCTATCCCAGCTGCTTCGGAAGTGTTTTCATGCACTTGTCTGAGTCCCCTCATCACTCATGAACAGGGTGCTGGTGCTGGAGGACGGAGCACTGTACTTGGACTCAGGAGGCTCAAGCCTCAGGCTCACTACTTGTCTCTGAGCCTCAGCTTCTTTTTTTGTAAGGTAGGAACATAATTCTTATCCTAAATACCTTATAGGACTGCTCATTATTTTAGCCCTTCTATTATTCAGAAAATATTTCTTGAGCTCATATTTCAGTGGCCAAAGGTGGAAAATTAAATTGATTCAATAAACAATCATAAGATTTTACCGGAGGAGTGAAATATCTAGATGGGGAAGGAAAAATTTAAAAATGGATGGAGCCGGGCTCGGTGGCTCAGTCTGTAATCCTGCGCCTTTGGGAGGCTGAGGTGAGTGGATTGCCTGAGCCCGCAGGTTCGAGACCCGCCTGGGCAACTTAGCAAGACCTCATCTCTACAATAAATCAAAAAATTAGCCGGGCGTTGTGGCACGCGCCTGTAGTCCCAGCTACTTAGAAGGCTGAGGCGGAAGGATCACCGGCGCCCAGCAGGTCGAGGCTGCAGTGGCTGGGAGCGGCCACTGCACTCCAGTCTGGGTGACAGAGTGAGACTCCAACTCAAAAAAAAAAAAAATGGATGGGGTCTTGAGGGTGAAGAGGAGTTCACCAGGTGAGAAGCACCAGATAGAGGGTCGGGCACCAATAAAGTCATGGAGATTGTACACAAAGGAAGAGCGATTGGGAATATGTTCATCTTTAAGTTCCTCAACCTCCCTTTTTATCATAATTAATCATTTCCAAGGTCATATTTAATGTTAAGAATTTATCATGTAAAGCAGGACAGATATTTCCGGAAGAAAATTTGGGGATCCACTTCTACCAGGGGCCATAAGTTTCCTCCTGATCTGCTTTTTCACCACCAATGTCTTCTTTTGTTGTTGTTTGCTTTTTATTTTTCTCTTTATTTTATTATTGAGATGGGGGTTAGAAATCAGGATTAGGTGCAAGAGTAGTCTACATGCAGGAGAGATTTGGGCTTCCAACTGCTCCTCACTTTTCTTGGTTTAGAATCAGAAACCCTTTGTGATGCCACGTGACCTTTCCTCTCCCTTCCTCACCTGGCAGTGTCCTGAATCTGCTGACCCCTTCATTGTAGCAAGGTGATAAATGTTCAGGAGCCACTTATGAGTGAGAACACGTGGTATTCACTTCTTTGTTTCTGTATAGATCACTGAGTATGATGGACTCTAAACCCAACCAGTTTGCTGTGAAACCTCACCACCTAATTAATGTCTTATTCCCCACACTCTTCCTTTAGCACTGTCTCATGACTCATCATTCTTTAAACAACCCATGCGACCGAGTTCTTTACTTCCTTCTCTGGATCCTGGGACCTCTCCAAGACCAAGGACTGAAAACTCCATGCAACTGTTTATATCACTTCACCCAGTTTTCCTCCAGGTTGGTGGTTCCCTTTACCTGCTACATCCCACCTTCCTCCTACCGGGACTTTTGAACCCAGACTCTTTCCCTACTTGGCTCAGCATCTGGTTTTCACCCACACTATGAGAGGTCGCACTGGGAAAGCTGTGCCCCCAGTTGAGATGGCAGCCCCTAAACTTTCCAGGAGGTATTTCTTGTTTGTTTTTTCTTACCCAGTAGCAGGACCACGTGTCAAATGACCATCTGCCCATATTGGCATAAACACAAGCCTCATTATCCAGTTCAGCTTCCGGGAGAAAGTGAATGGCAGACCCTGTGGCTAGGTGTGGCACAATCATGGAAATGGTGTTCATGGAGAATGTTAATGACAAGAGTGGAGCGTGTAACTAAGTGATCAAAGCAGAATATAGAACTGGATGTAGAGTATCAGCTTAACTCTTAGAAAATTGTGGATGGAGAAGATGGCGACCTGGCAACCCGGTGTCTGAAGCCCTCTGCAAGGGAGATCTGCAGTGGGTCTCTGACTCTCGCCCCCGGGAGGCTGGGGATCCCAGCATTCGCAGCCTACTCCTCAAACAGAGCTCGGCCATTCGCTATCACTTGATATCATCGCAAAGAACTGGACATTTTTACTGCATCGTCCTTTCCCGCT